TTAATGAACTATTTTGAATGAAATGAATTTTTTGTAACGAATCTAATTTGCATTATTATTTAGAAACAAAAAGTTTCATGTGAAAAATTTTGAAAAATAGTAAAGAATGTTGACTTCATATAACATCATAATGTTTTAAGCAAAATAAAATTGTTTTTGTTTAAAATTATTAGAAAATAAGTTTTAGAAGTAAAATTATATAAAAAGTATTAAAATATTCATAAAATAGATGCAAGAAAAAGCAAAAGAAAATTATTTCTTTGAAAAGAAAATCAGGATCTTAAACACCTGCTAAGAATAAAGTAAAAGTTCACAAAAGAAAGTTACAATTACAAACAGTATTTTGTTTGTGTTTTAAATAAATATTTTTGCGTTAAAGTTTTAGTAAGTTTTCTTAAAAGTTCTTAATATTTCTTGTATCGTTTATTTTGTAAAAAAATTATCATTTTTTTTTCGGTAAAAAAGTTCGATCATTAATATTTGAAAAGCCTTTTTTAATGTGTAGAACGCAAGAGAAAAAAACATTTTTGCAATTAAACTTTGAATAAATGATATACTTTGATCTAATTTGCTTATTTTTATTCAATTTTAAATAAACTTTGAGTTTGAAAAAATTTGAATGAATGAATTTGTGTATTTTTTTCAATTTTAAATGTTTTCACTAAACAATCGTTTATAATGTTGCAAACAATCGCAGAATATCTTAATCTATGATAGCAATTACTATACTTGTATGAATATCAAAACCTATGCTTACGTCTTCAACAGCAAAACCTTCGTCTACTAAACCACGTGATCTAAGATTGTAGATGTTCTCTTGAAGAATTCAAAAGAATAATCTTCATCATTTATACTTGTAACCTGTATTTCCTGCAAGATGTCTACTTCATTATAGTGTTTGGCTGTTAAAAAAATAATCCAAACTCGTCAGCCTTGTAAATATCACTTAATTCATACCTTAAGAGGATTGTGGGCAAATGGGTTTGCTCCCAACATGATATCTTTTCTTCAGTTCACTACCTTTTCATGCCAGAAAAAGTTTGAAAAACAACATTATGTCTATTTTTCCACCAATCAAGCTACCCTTCTTATTTAAATTTTTTTTTTAGTTAGACCTATTTCTAAAATTTTAAAAGCAAGATTTTTTTCTCTGATTGTCAGAACTGTCTTATTTGGTGTAGATATAATTAAAACTTTGTTTCTTCTTAATTCATATTCTTATTATACAATATTTGTTGAATTTGATAAAGAAGGCTGCGTATAAACTTTTTTGTTTTAAATATATATCGATATGATTTTATATTTACAATATCATCATCAGGTGTAATAAAAAACATTACAAAAATTATTACAAATTACATAAATCAAACTATCAAAAAATAAGACATTTTAGGCATAAAATAAAAACAGTTTTTATTAAATAATATAATGGCCTTTGTTATATTTTGATAATGTTCCACAACGTTACATTTTGAAAAGCAATGGAATACATATATATAGATTTTACACCTTATAAAAAATATATATTTCAAAAAAATAACAAAAGAAAAAATTTTTCATTTTCAATGCAAATTAAGTTAACAAAAACATGATGAAGTTTTTTTTTTCTTCTAAAATTTAGTTAAAAAAGTTTTTTAGTAATATAGGCAATAATAAGTTAAATGCATATCTTTGTAAAGTAAGTGATGTAACTTATGTTATATCTAAGTTTTTAAATAAAGTTAAACGCATATCTTTGTAACGTAAGTAACTTATGTTGCATAACTTACATGATGTAACGTAAGTTAAATATATAGCTCTAAAAACACCAGTTTATTTTCCTCAGCCGGTCACCTCTAATAAATTTTTATATTTTTTTAAAACTGGTATAGGACTCTCAACATCTTGTAAAAGTTTCTAATACAAACAGCTTTACTGATTCGCAGAAATCTGACCTAAAAGTTGAA